TCATTTCCACAAAAAAAAAAACGAAAGGACTTTCCGAACAACCCTATAGAATTGGGGCTCCACACAAAACCTGTCTAAAATACTGTTTATTTGGGGTGTTTTTTACGGTTGAATTTTTGAATAAAAAATATCAATGCCTCGTTCTGGCGTTAAAAAATACTAGTGGAATTTTTATCAAAATTGTGGTGTTATCAATGAAAAGATATGCCGTGGTGCATATCGCTTACCCTTGGTGCTAATCAGGAAAACCTTATATTCCCTTTAAATATTTAGGTTACCTACTAGTTTTATCCTTATATTTTATATTTTCAATATTTGGATGAAATAAAAAGACGTGGAAAAACGTTGGCAATTATCCTTTATCCATATTTGTGAAGAGAATAGAAGTAAAAACAGCAGTTCAATTCTCGTTCCGACGAAATCAATTTGTGATTTAATTTAATGTATCAATATCGATATTTAGTAATATCCGTGATTCGCATTCTTTAACATTTCCCAGCCGCCTCTCGATGCGTTCGACAAACATATCACGTTCTTCAATAAATGAGGAAAACGTGGAAAGAGAAAGGACGGAATGCGTGACAGCTCGAAGAGAATGACAAACAAAATCCCAGCAAAGAATGATTTAATAGTCTGCGGTTGAATAATCCTTTAATTCAATTGGGACCACCTACGTCGCAACGTCTTCTTCTGATTTCATTATAAACACATATTTTATTATCAGCGACAAACTTTTCTAGAATTTCAATAAAAACAGCACTCGTTTTAACTTTTAAAAACTAAAGTTCGCCTTCGTACGTACTCATGGCGATAGTTAGGGAAAAACATTAATTGACATGTCAACAGCAAAGTTCAAGAATCGCGAGGAAACTGTTAGAAATGTGGCGGGTGCCTTCGCGTCTGTTTCCCGGCCATCCTGAAAATAACTTCGTCAGTTCTTGAATACGTTAGCGTTGAATTACAAATTGCATCCCAGGTATCAGGTACACACTGCTTGACATCTTAATACCACCAGGTATCATTGAAATCGATACCTTTTCTCATTCCAACAACTCACCCGACTTAAACCACCACAATGTCGTCCAATTTATATTTTAAAGGACATTAATATCTCAATTAAAGGAAGGGAGATATAGAGTTGGCATCTGGTCAATTTATCGCTTCATGTTTGGCCACATGAGACATTTTCAGGGCTCTTCTAATGTAGGTAGATTATTATCTTAAGAAGCGCGAATTTTACAAAAACTCTCCAATCCTGTTAGTAATAGAAAAGCAATTAGCGTCTATCTGTTTGGATTATTAGCTTAGAATTTGCAAAATTTCAGTTGGATTCCTTTTTTTATGTGATTTCTTTAAATCATATAGGAAGATTCAGGGGACATACAAGGACAATATTCATTTTGTGTAAACCATTATGAATGATCTAAGCTTTTAACATAGTAAAATGTTTCCTTTTCTTTCACTTAACCTATACAAAATACCTTATGATAATTGTGGGGTAATCAGTGTTTAGCACTTAACATACATTTGTCATTTTCGACGTTAAGTATTTACTAATGAATTCGAGTGGATATCTATCAGTTAATGAGAAAAAAGAACTTAGAATGCCATTATCAGTGTTTATAAATACTCTGTGATAATGGCATTATAGCCGAAACGTAAGTTACAAGTTCTTCAAATATTAATGGTGCTTTTTTACCAATTAACCAGAATTTTTGTAGATACTTAAATGAAGCAAAGTTTAAGAGAATGATCATGATGGTTAATCAACTAATCGGTGAACTAACTAATTGAGGCCCCGTTTGATTTTAATGTGCAGCTAATTCGATTAATTGATTTTTATTTGATTAAAATAGCAGTGAGATAAAACGAAACCGCCTAATTATTGGATGCTTCATTATTTTCTAATTAATCGAATCGAATTGATGAAATAACCGATTAATAGAATAATCAGTTAACATGTCCATGCATATCATGTAGTACTTCACACTTCAATAGTAATTAAGGGGCAATAATCCTTATTGAGTCCATCTTTGCAGCTAAAATTCAAAAGAACCATTAATTATGTACAGGTCTGACGAAGGAAGCTGGCGAGCGGTCGCGCAGGTACTTGCCCATTTATGAGCTATTTGGGTAAGTCACTTGGAACCCATACACAAATAAGCTTTCAATAGACGTAAATTATAGTATTAATACAGATAGGACAGTAGCGTAGTAGAAAATAATGTAAAAACATGACTTATAAAAAAGAAAAAATTAACCTATTGCTTTTGTTTTATAGTTAGTTTTCACATTTACTCTCATCATGGAAATCTCTATCACTGTCACCAACATCAACAATTAGTTCTTCTGTTTGTCTGTCTATTACTTGCTCACTGATCCCTATTTTTAAATATTTAATCTACGCCCCTGATAGGAATACTGAAGAATGAGGGCTGCAATCTTTATACCTAAAACT